TGGACATGGTTCGCCTTACAGCCATACTAAAATGTAGCAAAGTTATTTAGTGCTAGTTCCAAAGAGGTCCCTTCTCGGCGGGCGCTCCCCCTACAGGGGTTCGGCACAAGGGGGAGATGGCAGCCGAGTGCAGGTAGCTGAACCCTGTGAGTGTTCCAAGAAATTGCATCGAGCTCCACATGGCAGCTCGGCGTGCAGGTAAACGCCTGCGTTTTAATATGAGAGTGCTGTTTTGGCTCTGCAGCACACAGAATCGACGTTCCTACCCGGCAAAGAGTCTATACTTGACTGATTCTGAATACACCTACTTTTGTAGAAACTGCCAAACTATTGCGTAATCCGCTACACAAAGGGCCTAAAACCAAAGAAATGCATGCCTACAACCGGCCTGTGCAATATGTTTAGCCCTGTCATGAGGCAACCACCCCAATCGGCAGGACTGCCCGCAATGGATTTCTTCTTGGTTCCCCTTCCAAGTCAAAAGAGGAGCCTACTTGAGCCTTCATGTAGGAAGCTTCTCACAGTCTTACTCAGCATTAGCTAGTTTCTGCTTTTCAAGAGAGTAGGGCTTGCTTATTGGCGTGGATGGCCGCTGCGAATTCATGCCGTTTGTGACCCTCGGCCCCTAAGAGTGACTCTCAGGTGCCCTATTTCGGGTGAAAGGCCGGCAATTATTGTATATGTGTGGTTTGAGGCCATAACACTGAGAAGTAGACCTGATTATGACAGTAATAGGGATAACCGGCACGTTGTAGCATAACGCCACTTGTAAGATCCTATGGCCTATCTAATATGCTCAAGCAAAGCTGTGCAAGGATTTCCTCCATCGAGAACACAGGCAACACTTGCAGCTCTTTTGTCAAAGACAAGGTAAATGTCCCCTATACGAGATAAGGGCTTGGACACGTTCTAGGCATTTGCTACTCTCCTGGGAATAACTGCGCTTTCGTGGAATCATGCACTAGGACGCTCAAGGGAATTAAGCAGTTGTTCATATATCGCCCCATAATCTTTGGACTTTTATAAATCATGCAAGGCTCTTCAAAGCAGTAATTGTTCAGTAAAAATGCTTGACACTTCGCTACTGCGTATACACGCTGAAAGGGTATCTGCTTGCCACTTAAGGACTCTAATAGCTCCAGGTGGCGGCGGCTGGACTAGTTGGTACAGTGGGGAATGATCGCGCAGTCGCCAGTCTATGGGTATCAAGAGTGGAGTAAAAGTTTACAGCAATATGTATCGGCAATCGCCTAGCCCATGCAGGCTAGGTACTAGTTGAGAAAGGGAAACCGCAGAATAAAACCCACATATGGTGGGGAAGGGACGCCCCAATCTACTGGACCCCTCGATGAGCTGCATTAGATGCAATTAAGCTATGCGCATACTGAGGACCGGATTATATTCTCAGAGCCTCCTGGGAGGTACAAAACGATGAAGAACATGTGAAGGATATTCGTATGATGTGAGCTCTGTTTTCATTTACTGTACCCGGTTTACAGTGGCTGGACCAGAGGTACTGAAAACCCCCCAATGCTTCTCAAGAGGCTCTGCTTGCAAGCTGATACCGACACGAACTGTATAACAAGTTCAGCTTACGATTCCCGGTATAATTCGAGGCCGCTGGTGATTCGCACAAGTTGGAGTGAGGATGCTACCGGCTCTATGCTCAACATTCAAGACCCAGGCCCTCCTGATGCCACCCGCCACTCTGCTGTCATATCAACATGTGCCGTTTACCAAACAGATCCACGTGTAGGCCGAAGCTGATAAGTATACACGGCCACAACGTGTTGATTTTGCTCTCAGACAATTCGGACCGGTAGTCACTGCCTACGCAGTCCTTGGCCAACCGATAACCCATTCTTAGCTTAAAGAACCTTTTGGAGCAAGCTGATGTAGCAGGTGCCAAGTGTGTCGCGAACTCACACTGATGTCTGGGTTGATCATGGGGTTTCATAGTCGACCAGACCGACGAGCCGTTGTCGTCGCGTCGATCCATGCTGCATAGGAGGCTGCACTGGGCTCACAAAGCCTGGATCTCTCCCAGAGCGCAGGCTCTCTTTGGGGAGAGTTGAGCGGCTAGCTGGGAGCTGATGTCTTCAAATCTCAGAGCAAGTGTTCTATTTCTGGAAGAAGAACCTCATCACTTTCGCGCATAGAAAGCAGAGCTTGTTCTCCGGTGGTCCCAAGGTGCGCGAAAGATCCCAAAGATAAAAAAGTGCAAAGGGGTGTACAATAGAGGGAAACCTTTGAGGTGTTACACGAAGGGGAGTCTACCAAACGTATCTTCGTGAGCCTTGTGCCTCTCACGAAAACAGTCGAAAGCCAAGTCGTACGTCACTGAGTTAAGCTTGTACCGGCTAAAAAAGGCATGTACATAGGGTGCGAGTCGTGCATATTCGTATCAGTGTCCAAATGTGTACATACGTAACCCGGGACATATGAACATGTCTATCAGATGTGCATATATACATATATATGCATCTAGACTGCACACATTCGCTTGTTTGCATCAAAATGGGAATGACAAAGCAGCCCTATCTTAACATGGAGAAAGCAGCTAAGGGTGAAAAAAGAAACCGTCAAAGTTATTATTTCTTCATACGGGCATTCGCCTCTTGTATTCTGCGCACTTCAGTGATGCCACCGTGCCGTGCATACGCGCGAATGCAAAGGCGGGCCCAACATCCCCCATTAGCTCGCAGCTGCCAAGGCCCACTGCTCTTTTCATCCTTTTCCTGAGGCCCCTACGAGGACTTAAAGGAAAAACAGCTCGTTGCCTCCCTCTATTAGACCCGCCACATAAGGGGCCCCCTTACGGACCCCTATTGCAGGGCTGAACAACTAAGCCTTCAAGGCTTCAGAAAGCGGGAAACGGTCTCTGCATGCGGCCTGACACAGCGACGCGGGAGACGCACACAACATTGGTAACCGAATTGGCAGCAAATATGGCAGCCACGGGGATCATGTACAGAAAAAAACGAGCAAACCCTGCAGCCTTGCTGAGGAGCGACGGCCTGGCGAAAGTCTAGTGAAATGTGCATTTAAAATAAAGTTCATCAGGAGAGCCTTTAAGGCTATAGAGCCGAAACTGGAAGAGACTGCTGATGCTGCAGGGAAACGTGGGTACTGGACATGAAATCTCACCTTGAGTTTTTCGCACGCAGCGGCTTGTCCTGGTAATTGTTGGAGTTTTCGAAGGAGCTCCTCGCAGTCAGCGAGAGTTGGTGTTTGCTCAGGGGGGATGGGCCCCTCGGAGCTCCCTCTTTCTGGACAGGGAGGCAAAGACTGGAAGGTGCAAAGAGGAGAGTCTGGGGTTAGCTGCTCCCCCGCGAAGTGCAGTGCCTCGAAAGCTGAGAGAAGGGAGAAGCACAACACAGACAAGCAGTGCATGGCACGTGCCGTGTAGGGCAAGGATACGCAAAAGACGCCGAATAGCAAAAGCATGCGTAAGTAAAGCAGCATCCAAATAATGCACATCACGTCAGGCAGAAAGGTTCATGAGGATTCACTAGACATTCACTTCGTAAAATAAGGGCTAACCTCTTCTTCGGATGACAAAGTCATATGGGTCTTCTATGCACTTCTTCGTGAGTTCATTCATAAGAGCATCTCCAGCTGCCCTCAGAGACTCCGTGGAAAGGCAGACAGGCTGCCCATAGGCAGCCGTCAGAGCGGAGGCAGCCATTTCCCTCATTTCCTCAGGAAAAGATGCAATGTCCGCTGCAGGTAGAAGAAGCAGGCAGCACAAGAAAACGGATACGCGCCGGCCCCTTTTATCTAGAAATATGGATAGCGCCAGGATCGACAAAATGTTACACACAAAAGGCAAACGTTAGGATGAAAGACACTACAAGTGGCGGACCTTTCCTGCTAAAGTGGTAGAGAAGAGGAAGAAGCTCGCAGTTGGTCCTCCCCACGTGTACCGACAGCTTTGAGAGCCGCGCGAGGGCTAATACCATTGCCATTGTCGCTCCTGGTTGGCAGCACGCAAGCAAAGCAGAAAGATCGATCATGAACTAGAGCTGCAGCCCCTCTACTTTCCTGCAAGTGTGAGCGATAAGCTTCATCGAATAGACTGGAAGGGCATTGCAGAATGGTTCTTCCGGTTGTGCAGGTCATGTTATTTGGCATCGAAGGGCTGGATATAGAGAAGCACGATGAAAGTGCTTGCCTTTTCTGAAAGCTAAGTTGTAGTGCGCAACGCTGGTTCTTGGGTCCGTGACACAGCACGAAAGAAGCCGATTCACTATTTTCTCAGCCGCCACCAATGGTGGATCCCTAGGATACTTCTCTTGTCGTTTCTTTTCTGACTTTTGCTGTTGCTGTTGTTTTGTCTTTTTCTTGATCTTCCCGTTTCCGCTCTCTGCCCCTGAACTTGAGGGCGCCGTGCTTGAAATCTGTATCGAACCGTCATGAAGGGAGAAGTAAATTTCCAACGCCGCGTACCCCGCATCCCGGAAATATCTGCATACCCAAACGAAAAAAGCGTCATGAAAACTGAAATCGAGCACAGCGCAGATTGCTAGAGGACCGCCACCGCAGCTCGCTCGCGCATTACCTGGTGAGCAGAAATACTTTTGTATGGCGGGATTGGCGAATGTTACGTAAAGGTGCTCCTTAGGATCAGAGGAATTATCAAAAATAAGACGCTATGGAGCTGGCACTACACGAGCGACACCAGATCGTACCTGTGTGACCAGACCTTGTCCTGCATCCTAAGAAAAGAGACGTACGCCCTGAAAGTTGATTTTCTGAGACAGTACGGGTGAAAATCAATTTGATCTTCATGAATCTCCTCGAAATGGCGCAGCGTCGCGTGGAGCTCAGTCAAGGCATCCCCATACTCCGCCCGCCGCATGAAGGCTTTCCCCAGTTTCAGCTCAAACCACATGCATTGTGTGTCTGGGGTATCTTCGGTTTCTGACTGACGCGTGAACAGGCGAGCCACGGCCTTCGCCTCGTCCGTCCGATTTACCCGCAACATGTAGCTGCAAGCTTTAGAGTTCATATAGCTGCACCAACCCACAAGCACCACGGCGATCACTGGGTGTAAAGGTCGGGGAGTGCGCGAAATAAGCGTACACTTCATGGGAGAGTCTATCGGAATCGCGAAAGAAAAAAGAGATGCATCACCAACTATGCGCTATTTCATGGGTACGTGCCAAAAATTCGTATTCCTGCGGAAACGTGGCGGTAACGCCGTCCAGCTGGTAAGCCGCCAGAAGCACGGGAAGAAGGAAGGAATGGGGAAAGAAGGAGCGATGAGGTGCAGATGCGGGTTCGGAACGTGCATTGAGCCACACAGCGTCTCACCGGTCAGCAAGGTCGAGGTTTCTGGCTTTTTCGTGCAATTCGCATGCCTCATGATAGGCCCCTGCGTGCTTGAATATTCTGCCCTTTACAAGATAAAGGTCGGCAAAGGTGGGAGTGTGGTCGATGGCCTATACAAGAAGAAACGAGAAAACGAAAAATCAAAATGGTGGGTGCCCCTGCACATGCTTCGGACTGAGGCCCAGAATGTGTGGGCTTCATATTGCTGTAAGTGGCCACCAGTACATCCAGATAAACATCTATAACATGAAGCAAAGCCTACAAATTCGACAAATCAGCAGCTGTCTTAACGGGAGAGGGAGGCGTCCATGTCTCCCGGCCAAATGGAAAGTTGGGGATCGGACGCAAGTGCCTTGTGCATGTATACATGGGAATGCGTATATCTATGGAAACGAATACGCAAGACGACAAATTCATACTTTTTGAATCGTTTGCAGTGCCTTTTCTGTCCTTCCCGTAAAATCGTAATGCTGAGCCAAAAGCATGTATGCGTAGAGCAGACATGTGGCCATCTCGCCCTGTTGCTCCGTAGCTGAGGCAATGTCCTCGCGCTTCTCAGATTGAAGGCCGAGGGGAGGTCCAAATGTCGACGGTGACATTTCCAAATGCTGCACGTAACTCTCTAGCACAGATCCGATAAGGTGTGCGCGGTTGCGCGTGTACAGACGCCGCAAGGCGGAAAACAGAGAAACAACACCCTTCCGCAGCTGAGGGCGCAGGAAGCGGTCCAAAGCCGAGACAAAACGGTCGCCAAAAAGGAAAGAGAGTTGAAGATAATCCACCACGGGAAAGGGCGCATACGTATCTCGTAGTCCTGCAACACACAATACCGCATGCACGAACGCACATCGATGTGTGTTTATCGTTTCATGCACACAGCAGCCACCCAACAGCCACACATACACACAAAAGCACACATACACACATGCATACACACATGCATACACACATACATACACATGCATACCCACATACACACGCACATACACACATGCATACCCACATACATACACACAGAACAGCGCCTGTCATGGACGGCGTTATGAGGGCAAGGCAAGGAAAATATAGATGTAAAAAGGGGCGAAAAGCTGGGAAGAAACAACGAGGCGCACCACTGAAATATTTGGAGATAGCGTCTTGGATCTCATCCGGAGGGATTCGCACGAGTCTGAATGAGGGGGGGGCCTTGGGTGTTTGCCAGGGTTTCCACCCTGAAACTGGATGCAGCTCGGGATCCTGCAGACGTGATTCACGATCAGCTTGTGACGTAAAACACGACTCCAACCAGCCGCTTCCATCTTCGCCAGAGGAACGCAGGCTCCCCGGCATCAGGCAGACGTATGCGTTCGCAGTGCTCTGGAATATCTTTCCTCCTTGCAGCTGCTTTCTGAACGAAGAAAAGAAAAGTGCGCTAGAAACACTTGCACGCGCTCCCACACACAGCAGCACGGTGATGACGGCAAAGTGGCTAGCACTACAGAAGTCTACGCGAGAGGCTGAGCGCCTGCAAGAGGGGCACCCACTATGTGGGTTCTACACGCAGGGCCTTACAAATTCTTCCGGAAGTCCATGGAGTCCGCTTTGCCGATTGCACCATTGAGGGAGCAGGAGGGTAGTGCAAAGAGTTCGCGGATACGCGCGTCTTCGTCGCAGGCCATAAAGCCAAGGATGTACCGTTCGTTGTCTTTGTTCGACTCAATTAGCCGCTTGTAGGCTGCACGGCCCTTTTCGTAATCCCTTAAGAAGATTGACATGCGACCTTGCATCTCTAGTAACGAGGTTTCGTCCAATATGTCTCTGTGCAAACAGAAGCACGAGATCCTACCCCGGCGAGGCATGCAAAAAGTACCTTCTACAACTACGGCTACGCCTTATACGCCTGACCAGGCAGCTACAGAACCCCACCAAAAAAACGCAGCTACTGCGCAGGCCTCAGTAACTCCTGTTCAACACATGCCTGACGCAACCGCGTCAACTTACGCCTCGCGCTGAGCAAGGAAATCGTAGCATTTTCTGTATTCGCCCATTTCCTCCAGAAGTGTGGCCTTGTAGAGCATGATTTCGCTCTTCTCAAAAGGATCCAAATCGCGAGACTCCCCAAATTGATTCTCCATTTCTCCGAGAATATCCTGCGCTATCGTTAAGCGACCAACCTGCACGCCGCGTGCCCACAACAGCAAAAAGCAAATGCATCATAGCATGGGAAAGTGGCACGTGACCAATCTCCGCATGCTGGAGAGGGAGCAGGAACTGGAGGCACAGTAGCCACATGAAGTTCTACCACGTCGCATCCGAATGTGTCTAGAGATGTAGTCCGTCGTAGATCAGGATGTGGCTCTGCTCATGCGCCATGGCTAGTCACTGACCAGATGGTTTGCAACGGCAAAGGCGGCCCACTCCCGAATGAACCGAGAGCGAGCCTTAAGGATGTGCCTTCGCGTCTCGAGAAACCCCTGCAAGTTCCTCTCATGGATCTGGAGGTGGGCAAGATCGCGCATGGCTTGGTAGTTGTTTGGATCCAGCCGCAGGGTTTGCACAAAGCACTTGGAAGCCTCAGCGTAGTCCCTATATTGCCACAGAGCGCACCGCATCAGAGGAGCCGGCCCAACACCTGAGCAGTGACAGACTTCATCCAGGAAAGTCCAACAACAGACTAGCTCCGACATAAGGGCAGTTCCGGAAACTACATGCGCAGAGCACCCGAAGCCCTACTTGTCCTGTCGATAGAGTAAACCCAGGACGTGCCAACAGACACAATTCGTGATGTCTGCGCGAAGGCCACGCTTTGCGTAGTCGTAAGCGTCCTGCTTCTTGTCATTGCCCATATTGGAAAGAATGAGCCCCTTCATAGAGAGGGTCTCGCCGTGTTCGGGGAACTTCTTGAGGATCAGGTCCGCTTGTTTAAGGGCTTTTTTGTTGTGCTTCTGCTCGTACAGCCACTGCGCCAAGAATTCACAAGACTCTACACAATCATTCATAAGATCTGTAGACCTCGAAGGCGGCGACTCCACGGAGGGTGGGGAGAAGTAGCACCACCACGCGGTAGGAAGGAATGCCGAAAGCAGAGAGTCATGGCCTTCCCTCACCATCATATGCTTGAATATCGACTGTTCCTTGCCGGGCAAGGCCCGCCAACTGGGGGCATCAGCGCTAGGCTTCATCTTGGTAGTAGGTGTGTTGGGGTTGCTATGCTGTGTGCAGAAGGTAGAGGCTTAGCTCGTGCAGCACAAGGCGGTGCTCACTGCGCAGACCTGCTGGCTCACAGGAGCAGTCCTAAGCTGCCATGGAGTCGCCAGTATCTGAGCGACAGAACTACGAGGAGTCAAGGCAACGCAAGCCTGGGGGTCCACTCGAACATGCGGAGGCGTCGTGAGCAAGGGGGCACCAGACGCACTCATACACCCCCATCTGTGTGGCGCCGGTCCACACGCATCAGTTATCAAGAGGACGGCAGCAGGCCATTGAGGAGAAGGTTTCAGCAAAACAACAAGCGAAAGGGCCTTCGTACTCCTGCTGCATGCACGGCAGAAAGCTCTGCCAGTGGACCTCGACCCCAAAGGTTGTTTATACACGTAAATAAGGAGAAAATACAAGGCATATGCCGCGTTTTGCCTTTTGGTGCAACAATCATAGTCTAGAAACTCAGTGGGGGCCCGGCACGACTCGGCGCTTCAAGCCCCGCGGTGGGGTGGATTCCTATTAGCCGACTGGGCTTCCTATATGCATTCTACCAGAGAAGGGTTTCTTAGGTTGCGCCATTCTGCATATTTTGCCTAGAGCTCGTTGCTACTTTGGGCATTTGCCGGTTGGCTGCTCGTGGGACATTGTTGCTGGCACTCTTCGACTTCCCGCCTTGACCACGCGCCGACATCCGAGACGTCGTCAGCGCAGCAGAGTTTGCAGGATTCAAGCAGACACTCAGAGTCGTTCTGAAAGACTGCTAGTCAGTTTGTCTTTGGGGAATTTGGCGTGCACCCGGCATACCTGTGAACACAGAGCGGCTCTTTTGTCCCGTGCTGTGGCACACCGTTGAACTTTGGTGTTGAACGCGGCTTCGGCATCTTGGGCAGCTCTGGTCTTCTGAGTGCAGCCCCTTTCGCATCTTATTTTGTGTTGCGGGCTCAATAAGCTTGTGTGGAATGCGCAACACTCGGAGCAGTAGTCTGCTGCACAGGAAAGCTGCCGAGCTTTGGACTTGTTTGGAAGCATCTCCATGCAGTGCTCCCGCCTCGCTATGAAATGTTCCGTCGAGGTGCACGCACTCCTGCATGCCAATATTTTCTTGAACTAGCGCGGCACTGTGGTAGCTATAAGCTGGAACATACCATATTTTGTCAGATACGACGGCCTCAACAAACCGGGGCTCAGCCCTTGTTTCCAAGCGCATTGGAGAGAGCTGAATTGTGTCAAATGCCACTCCCCCGCAGTTGAATGCAGACAGACCAACAGCGCCGTCTGTTGGTGCTTCCTTTTCTGAAGGAATCTCGACAACAAGTTTAGTGGCTACGCTATCCGCATTTTGAAGGCGCACTGCCACGCGTGAGCCCTCGAACGCCACGTGTAGCGTGTGCCACACGTTAATACCAAGCTCTATGGCTTTCCTGCCGATAACAGAGGACTTCTTGTTTACAACGCTTCGCAGCCTTAATCTGTATCCAGGGGACAAGGATTACAGCTGCATACGAATAGCCATACGTGAAACTGACTCACTCCGTAGCGGTCGCCTCGAGAATCATATACGTTTCTTCTGATACAAAACGAAACACTGCCCCGATTGCACCTCTAGTGCACTGCGAGAAGAAATCGAAGGATATGAAGCCGTTTTTGCCTGTGGTTAAGGGCCTTTTTGTAATTGTCTATAGCAGGCTAGACCTAAAACCACTTACACATTCGCTGACCCTTGAGAATTGCCATTGTTCCAACTTCAGAAGCCCCACTCACAGCATTAAGCTGAGCCAGAACTTGGTTGCGTCCCCCGATTCTATCCTGGAAAGTATTGCATTAGAGTCGAGCATGCGCTCGTTCTTTTGCTGTTTCAGCACTCCTAGAATCAACGTACTCGGTATTCCCAATGGCCAACTGCACCACCTTTATCCTCTCCATCAAGTATTTTGTAAAGCACACCGACGCTGCTAAAGTATGTATCCGTAAAGACGGAGCATTGAGGTGGTAGGGGGGGCAGTAGAGTCTGCGGTGTCTCGCAAGGCAACGCCTCCACGCGCAGTTTGTCAAAGTATGCTCCATCTTGCATTCCTGAGGTGAAGAATCCAATTGCTCCGGATGCAAAACGCTCGTCCAGAACACTGAACATGTTTTGCAGTGTTGATCCCTAGTAATTGTAAATGCATGCGCTACACTGCCTTACGTAAATATCTCAGCATCGGGCTCATCCTCCTCCCCGATACAGACAGTGATGTGGCCTCCCATTCCCTGAATCCTAACTTTATGCCAAATCCCTTGGATGAATCCGCCGTCTTTACGTTCTGCGATGGTTTTTCGGACGCCCTTTTCGAGCCGTTCAAGCGTCTTTCTCCCCTTTTTCTGATGGAGCAACAAGAGATAGCCGTTGTCATGGTCCTTCATTCTAAAACCGATACCAACACAGCCGCTGCCCATTGGCTGCAACAAAAAGCAGATAGTTTGCTGATGGATCAATCTACAAAAGCAGCATGCATACCAGAAACTCCACGTGCAGGATAAAGTCGTAGAAGCTATGCCTCCGTAATAGAGCATAAGTCCCATGGACTTCGGCAGTCCCTCGAATTGCAGTGGACTGGCCAAAGACATTCTGGTGGCCTGACACGAGTGCGGCGAAACCCCAATGGCTTGGGCCCCCGTGTGTGAAGCTGCTGTCCTCTACTCTGAACTCTTTTTCGAACGTGGTGTCTTGTGGGTTCAGTTGGTAGCTCTTGTATCCTCCTTGTACAATATGCGTGTCTTCTAGATGTTTCAGCTCGTCCTGCAGGTATTCCAGGCGTGTGGCGACTCCTGCAGAGGTTGCCAGTAAGCGGTTTGTAAGGATTTCGGTGTCGCGGAAGCTGAATGGCCAAGAAGGCATCATGCTCAATTGTAGATAATATTTTCTGTTTAGCTCACAGGCTTAGAGCAGAAGCGAACACGCTTTCTCCCAGTTGCTCTGCGGGTTTGATGAGCTTTCGAGCCTCTCCGACGGTTGTACCAGCGTCTATTTTTGCATCATTAACGGCGATGGGGTCAATGCCATGGGTTGCCACTGTAATGGAGTGCTATGAATTGCTTGTTTGTGAGATATGCCCCTATTGGAAACCTACAGATGCGGTCCTTGGCTGCATCAGAAGCTGCTGCAAGGGCGGGGTCGTAGGGCGGCGGTGAAGCGTTCGACGCAGGCATACTGTTGCTGCTAAGTTCAAGGAAGGATGTTTGGGGCGATTGTGCTGAAGAACTTGAGGGGCCCAATGTATCTCCTGGGCATTCCTGTAGCGCGTCAGATGCTTAACTTGGCTGTACCGTAGGGAGCCTCATATACTCTAGCAAACCTGTCTTATCTTGAAAAGCCTCATACTTCTGATTGCTTCCCCAGGATCAAGATGCAACGACTTAGACTCGATGCCGTTCTGCTTTGAACCTTCGAATGAAGAGTTCGGTGACTCTATTGCGACTGTGAAGACGCCACCATCCCGAATGAGGCCTGCATGGACTCCCGCCTTGCAAATGGAACTGCGTTCGGCGTAAACGCCTCCAGATCCAAATACAGGAAGCGCTTCGATATTTTCGCAACCAGGTGGGCACTCCACCAAAATGTTAGTCTGAAGGATTTGATTATGTGCTAAAAGTGGCTTAGCAAAAGATGTGTCGTACATTTAGAGTCGCTTTGAAGGCTTCGTGTCCCTCCATTACTTCATCGCACTTGAGAGTAAGCGCTGGCCTGAACACATATTTAACCACGACGCGCTTGAAGACATCAAAAAGAGCACCTTACGCCTGTTCAACTTCGCCAGTGGCATTTGTGGAACACAGAAGAGCTGCCAACGGGGTTGTGGACAATGCAAAGTAGCCCATCTTGTCGCCGTTTGACCTCCCCAGGCCTAAATGCTCATTAAATACAAAAGTTCACGGAAGATAACATGTGCTACAGACCAGCAGTGTCTGTCCAAGCAGTCGCGCTGCTATCCGCTGAGGCTAACGCAAGAATCAAGCCCATTAAGTCCGTAGCGCCATCATAGAAGTCGCGAAAGGATCCAGAGCACTGTCCAGCGGCGCAGCCCGGATCGTGAGCAATGGGTATGCCCTCTTCTCCATCGAGTTGCAAATCTGAAAAAGAGCTCAGAGTGAACACAGACTGCGGCTGGATTCAAGTGTGGCCGCCTCACGCATTTGCTTTGCTGCCTTTGTTGCGCTGTGGATATGAGACAAGGCCCGGGGAACAAGGGGCTCGAGACCGATGGATGCGCACGCCTGCCTGACTTCGTAAGCTGATGCTAACAGCCCCTCAGGGCGACCAGCAATCCGTGGAAACTCGTTTTTGGTTTGTACATAGATCATGGTTCCGGTTTCCATGTCACAGTAGGCCCGGAGTGCTTTATGAGCACATCTGGGACGAACCCTATAGGAATGAGCAATGTTGAGCTTGGTACAAAACAACGTATTTGAAGCGTCATGCTGACCAGTAGAAGCCTGAAACCGCATCAGCAACCTGGAGCTTGATCGCGTAGCAGTCTCTAGCTGGATGCTCCTCGGTGTCACCTTCACCGGGACGAATGCAGAGTCGGGGGATTTAAGGAACTATTGTATGGATGTGTTGCATGTGCAGACTTCCTTACCAGGTATTACTGTGTCGACGCCCACAATTCTTGCTCCCTCAGTTGCCTTTTCATAGCTGGACAAGAGTTGACCAACAGTAGTTGATAACGAAGCCAGGTGTTGACTCTGCTGTCCTTTTTCGTCTCTGCAGGTTTCCATATCCGGGAAGAGCTCTTCAATCTTTCCTGACAGGACTTCAAGACTCCGTCTCTTGGCTATAACATCCTTCCCCAAAGCAGGTATTTTTTTCGCAAATTCGCTGTCGAAGGTCGACACATAGGAAACAAAATATTTGTCTCGTGCATCGTCTGAATTCGCAGCATCACGGCAGTTGCCTATCCCAGGCTCGAGTTTGCTTGCGAAAATCCCTAGTTCTTTGATTGCGTATCGGTACTTTTCCTCGCGCTTTCCCAGCCGTGGATGCGGCTTCTGCATTAGAATTCTAATATACTGCGCATCTACACCTCCCAGAGAGTCTCTTGTCGAAGCCGAGGGGTTGGCCGGATTAGATGCAACGTCCCTAGGATTTGAAACAGAGGAAAGTATAGACCAGGCAAGCAGCGATACCGCGGGCGAACTTACATGAATGTCGTTCCGTCACTGCTGGCTTGCAGAGTGTACGCCAGGGCTGGCTGTTCCCAGTCGATCCGAGCGGAGCTCAGTCTAACAACCTTGCCTGAAGCACAAGAAAAGAACTGTGACTTAAAGAACCCCATGATACTGTGGTATCAGCTAGACTGACCAATATTTATGTCCAGGGTCACTGGATGTTCATCCGTTCCCTCGAACGAATCGGAAGCCCACGATGTATTCGTGTCCCTGTCTATGGCTTTTTGCGGTCCATGAAGATCGTCTGCGTTACTAGATGACTCTGCAGTTACGCCAGAGTTGGAGACTAGGTCCACTAGGCCAGAGGTTGAACCGTTCACGTTCTTCTGCGTCATGCACCATGATCCGGGCTTTGCAAGTCGGATCTGGGAATTGGCTTGAAAAGTCCACCCGGAACGTCCATCGCCCTCCTCCAGGGCACGTGAGCACTTTGACAGTATGAGGACTCCTCCATCTGAGCCCGAGCAAATTGTATCATATAGTGGACAACATCCTTCGAGGCCGGAAAGTAATCAAGACTTGCCTGCCTCTTCCCCTCCTTCGAGAACGACGCACAGCGGCGGGTGGCTTAAAGCACTAACTAACTGTGTTTGGGGGTTTGTAAACCACAGCTCCTGATAACGTATGCCCAGAGCCAATGTGTAGCTTGCTGATCATGAGGTGATGAGGCACAGCGTGAGAACCATACCCGTCCGTCGCCCATTGCAATCGCGTCTTCGCAGGACCTCAGAGTGACCCTGGCACCTTCTTTGTTCATTTTGCCGCCTTCAACCTGCAACGCTAGACTGCTGAAATGCGACTATGGCTGGAAACGTATGTATTAAAGACGTGCCTGGAGACACATCTCTCCAGATGGACTTGTAATGCCCGCGACTATCATGAAGAGAGGCTGCCCCGCGCCGAGAGGGGTAATTTCATTGATGCCAAAAAACTGGTTTGTAGCCTTCCGCATTGTGAGCACGATGACTTTGCACTCTTGGGGACTACTGAACGAGATGATCTCATCGAAAGATGCTGAAACACAGCTAGGTGCTGACGTGACTAGATGATCCATAACTGAATTTCCTCACGCCCTGTGCCCGCAGTTGGCTGCCATGGAACGGCTACAAAGAAGTTCTGGCCGTCAGCTGAGGTCGAAACTTGAACTTCCTGAGGAGGGGTGTTCTCCGAGTGGTAGAGCTAACGAGCGTTCAAGTTACCTGGGGGGCGTATTCCCAGCGAATCTTGAGGCCTTTGACTTTACCGGGAACCTCCAAGGTACCGCTCCATGAAACTGTTACGCCGAAAATAACTTTAAAATGCCAAAACTACTGGAAGACATCTTTACTCTACCTTGCTCATCAGTCGGATGGTCTCCCGCACTAGACCAGTAGCCTGGCCCCGGCTGCAACGCGCGGGAAGGCTCAAAGCCACTACCATACGTGGAAGTTGCAGATGCATCATTAAATACATAGAAATCTGCTGAAGCTTCCTGAGCCGCACCCCGAGAAATCAGTGACAAAGCCACCCAGACGACAAGCGCTGCTTGTGCAGCAGTTTTCATGATGAACACTGCCAAATCATGCACTTTTGGTACCTTCGCTGTACTCCCGACGATATACCACAGACTACTGCGTTTTCCCGGAGAGTAGGTGAGCCACAGGCTTCACAAGAATGCGACAACTCGAATGCTCTGGACTGCGGCGCTGTACGTACATCTGGCGTGTACATGATTGGGGCCGCCAGCACCACCACGATTTGCCATCACTTAACGTGTTTCAATGAATATTTAAGGTTTTCGGTGCTTAGTGAAGCTAGATAACTTCTATAAAGTAGAGTTTGCTTTATTGGATGCAGCTTCAGCATCCACTAATCGGTCAGTGTTGGATAAAATTACGGGAAGTCGAGTTCGGCTCGCACAAATGTGGGGTTCCCTACTTTTAATACTAAAATTTTGAATATAGGCAAGGTTACATCGTCGTACAAAAAAATCATGATTAAAAAACTATATTCTAATAGGTGCTGCATAATGAAAATTGCAATACAACCCCTGGGGCGTAAACGTGGGACAGCCATCAAATGAATGTGGATTACAGAATCCCTCCGTCATCTGCGTCATCCATATTATCCTCGACATCTTCATCTGCATAGTAATCATGAGCGTAATCATCCCCCCCGAAGTCGTCTTGTTCATCCGCTCCAAACAATTCCTCTGAAGGAACATGTGACACAAAACATTTGAAAAGGCTGGCATGACAAGCCGCAAACATGGGACACAAAGTGCCCTCCTCGATGAATATCATAGCAGCCTTTGCATGGTATCCACAAATTCTCTCCTATCATTCACTTACCTTCGGCACTTGCTTCCGGTTGTGCTGCTGGAGCCTTCTCATCTGCCCCTTTGTTCTCGTTCTCCTTCTGTTCCATTTCTTTCAGTTTGTGGCGTTTTGAATCGGCAGCTGCTCCTCTTCCAGCCACCCTGGACAGGCGGATGAGTCGATTTTGCAGTAGCTCCGTGGGGAAAAACTCGCTACTGCAGTAGGATACAATTGCATCCTTCTGAGCATCGAGGTCGTAGGATCCAGCTAAGTTCAAACTTGAGTAGTTGCGCCCCTCTAACTTGGTGTGGTTCTCGACAATGCAGCACTCTCCTGTGCGCCAGTGATTGGTTAGGAGGCGGTATGTGAGAACAGCATTCGCTGCTTCGTCGTCTAATGGGGGGGCCTGTTCAATGTGCCGATCTGGCGGGTAGATCGGGGGCTCTTCGGTAACTGGGCCTGAAGAGGAGCACAAGCAGTCTCCGTGCTATGAATCAAGTACACCAGAACAAGCTCAACCGAATATGCAGTGTAATTAAACAGGTAGAGATCTGACTGCCTGTCAGCCGGAAGAAGGCCATCCTCTAAGCCCCCACTTGTTATACCAGAACACCCACTATATAGCAACAAAACATCCAGAAAAGTACCTTATAGAACGACACTCACATTGTGAAAAGAGCAGCGAATGTGCTTCTAGAATTTTAAGTCCTTTTAATTGATCTGAGACCCGCACGGTCATTCAACAATGCCTTACCGTGTCTCTCTACCCCATCTCTGACCCATTTCCTCGTGGTGCTGCCACCTGCTCCTCCTCCCCGCCCTCCTCTCATCTTAGATCTCACAAAAGTTTTGTGTGAATACCAACACAGGTATGCAGGTACCGCTCTTCGGGCGTGACCCTTAATGGGAACACCAAGGGCACGGGGAGAAGGGCGATTGCCTCGCTCCTTCGCGGGACCAACTTGAGCGCCACGCTACATATATTTTAGCGCATGAAAAGAATAACAGTAGTTCTGGATGTTTTTCCTCTACAAGTTGCTCGTGGGGCCACTCTGTGCACTGGCGTTGGCTGCATGCAACGATTCATTGTTGCCAATCGAATGAGTCCAAGCCACAAGACGGTTTGCAGCCACATCAGAAATCAAAAATAAAACATATGTTTTCTAATTTATTCAGCTAATGGGTGTGGGCTCTGCCGTCATGAAAATTTATTCTTTACATTGTCTGTGTTGACCCGATCGACAGTGGCATGTAAAGGAAAAGGCGTGGTTAGCCCTTACCCCCATGGCCAGCAAGGCCTCTGATATGCTGGAAAGTACACCTGGAAAGTGGGGTCTGACACGGCTCTCATTTTTAAGTCTAGCGTTGAGGTTTCCTGATATTGCCAGTCGGCCATGAAATCAACTGCAGGTGTTTCCCGGGGCTGCACGCCATTGCAGATTCTGCAGAAAAGCAGGCCAAAGGATGCAGCAAAAGCGCATTCAGGCCTACAGCGTGTGAGTGCGTCCAGAAGTGGGAAAACAGACAAAGTGAAGGAATACATGGAACAAAAGTTTTACGAGCAGTTCATGCCAAAGAGGGATGCGAATTCGAGAATTCGCAAACTGGCACTAGATAAGGATGCCTTGATGGGGATCCAAGGGAACAACAAACAACGGTCACTGGGAAAGAAAGGAGAGTGTCCAACTTCGTCTCACGGTTATAAGTCGCAGAAGAAGACCAAAAAGCGTGCACCGGACAAGACAAAGGCAGTGGGCAACAGACAGAACACGAAAAGCATTAAGGATATTTGCTCTTTGGTAAGGTGCTGTTAGACAACACATAACTGTGAGAGCGAGTTGGCTTCGACCTCATAACTTATTCTTGGCTTTTTTTCAGGGAGGCGGGCCTCTTTGTGTCATTACGGTCTAATCGCGCAAGCAAAAGAACAAATGTGTGCACTTCTGTGTCCCAGGTCCTTTCAGATGTACGCGACCTTTAGAGCCGCAACGACAGGGGGCAAAGGGGGAAGATTCCTATATGCGCAGCGTCAGAGAATATCTGCACAAAAATATTCTCAGGAGGGTTCTGACGAACTGCGCGGCCCATGAAGTGTAGCACAGGATGTATTTCCTTTTGGATTAGACTCCATGACCGAGTGGCACCATAAGAGCATATTAGGTGCTTAAGGGATTCAAGTCACGTGACCTCGTCGCTGCATTCCATGCGCATATAAGCTTGGTGAGATGTGCACTCATCAGCAAGAGCCTTTGTGACACAGCGAACGGTGTAGAAGGCATGTTTTTAAAGACCCCATGCTTCTGCCCTTGGCTGAGTTGGCAAGTAAATTGCCAGTTTCTGGCCACCTGATTTGCGCACAGCTTGATGCAGCGCGTTGGTTTATGTACTGAGAGGGGTGCGGTCTTGGCTGTCTTTCTCAGACAGCTATATAGACTCCAGTCGTGGCCTTTGGCTGGCTGCACCACAGAGGGCCTGCGAGTGTGTGTTCTCGTCCCTCGTTTTGGGGACTGCGGCCGGGGTTTTTCGTTGCATCGGCACTTTTAAACGCTTTTATTTGCACGTAATTTAGTGTACCATGAATTTTGGCTCCATGAAACAGCAGCTGGAGCGTCTGGTCCGCTGTGGGACACAGAGCAAGCGACGGAAAACTATGAGGAGTGGAGAAAGATAGTACTAGTTGGAGACAGCGAATGGGGCTGTGCTTGACGCCCCATGGTCTCTTAGTGGTGGATGGCAGCACCCCAGGACGGTGAAAAAGATGTAACAGAAGCACACCGCAGAGACATGCGGTACTTCTGCCTGCTGTTCCCTTCAGCTGTCAATAAACATGGTAGGCGCGCGGAGAAGCGCTGCGTCTACTTAGAACACCCGGTACAAAAACGAGCACGTCAACACGCGTCACACACCGATTGGGAGGTAGGGGGAGACGTACAGAGAGTCAGGGGAGAAAGCGCCAGCACTGGCGCCTCCGCATGCTCATCCCAGGCGCGCCCAAGAGCAATCCAGGAGCACAACTATAGGGCCTTGGGCTAAAAAAGGGGCCACTTGGTGTACCCGAGCTCCAAACTTGGGGCCCTTATCGCAGAATTCCCCGCGCCTTGAGTTTAAGTAGCGGGGTGGGCCGAGTGGGCATACCCCGTGCAAATTAAAAAATTGGGTGCAGTGGGCTCTTCGCTGGGTTTGTGGAGCATAGCATCTTCTCGTTCTGGAGCTGGCGCGGCCACCATGTGTTCGTGCGTCCAGTATTTGCCGAGAGAGTAATTACGCACAGGAAGAGGAAGGACGAGGCTGGGAAACCGCGTTCTTTCTTTCCTTCTTCCTTCCCAGGGTTGGTTCCCACAAGGTCAGTGCCCCCGGAAAACTCTTCCTGTGCCACCGGAGCCACGTGCAGTCACGACGAGTTGTGTTTTGCTTTTTTCCCGCTCGTCGCGGCTTTTTCTGCTGCAGTTGTAGTTGGGGTTTTGCGTTCTGCCAGGACGGTCTCCATAATTAGGCCCTGCAGCGACGGAATGACCTCGGCATTGGCCAGAGAGGTTGTGTCTCCCAGACTCTGGTCAAGGCAACACAGCTTACGTAAAAGGCGTCTCATGATCTTCCCGCTCTGTGTCTTGGGCAGGCCTGAGGAGAGACAGGTGTAGGCATCGGGCTTGTTGCTCTGGGCACTGCCTGCCGTGTGCTCTATTTGTCGTGCTGTCGAGGGTGTAACATGATGGGCACCGCGATGCGCTAGAAACACGAAACACTGCAAGAGGTATGTTCAATGTGCACAGGATGAACACCGCAAAAGGCTTTTTCTGCTGTGCAGCTGTAGAGGACCTGCAGATAGCGCGACTTCGGGTTGTTGATGACCAAAACAATGATGAGCCAAGAAAAATCAGTGGAAGGCCCTTGAGCAGCACGCCCAACCGTGTATCCGCACTGTCTAGAGTTTGAATTGTCCTGGTGTCGCTGCTGGCTGGCTTACCGGGAGCAATAACAATAAAGTCAGGTGTGGCAATCGGACCGATCTCTTTCCTCACTTGTTTCCTGGCCTCGTCGATCACTCCAGCTGGCGTCTCCCCAGCCTGGAACCGAAGGCAACGGACAAAAGCAGCCATGCGATGAGGCAGTGAAGGCGGCTATTCATTCAGCAGTAGATGGAAGTCGTGGTGTGGGATAGCTCCATTTCTCCTAAGGCGCTTTTTTAACACTCTGGCCCTTACCTTGAGGATGACGAAGCAGAAAATAGCTGTGCCCTTCACCTCGTGTGGGACGCCAACGACAGCCGCCTCCACAATGCGGGGGTGCTGCACCAAAGCGTGCTCGATCTCTGCTGTGCTGAGCCTGTGGCCTGCAAAACGAAGAGACAGGGTGAAGCAGGGGAGGAACAGGGCGTCAGAGGCGAGGGAGGAGGGTCAGGGGAGCTGGGTGAGGCGTGGCCTCCTTTTTGGTGTCTCAGGGTGTAAATGGAACCGCGGGGACGGAAAGCTGGTCTCAAGGCAGACAGAGATCCAGCAGCAGTCATGTGAAAGAGAGACAGAGACAGAGGTATGGCTTGGTGAGGGGGGGCGGTGTTGGAGAGCAACGGAGGAAAGTGCCATGCACGCATCCACATATGTACCTGAGACATTTAGCGTATCGTCAACGCGGCCCGTTATCCAGTAGTGGCCGTCAGCATCCCGATATGCCCCATCTCCTGTGAAATAGTATCCGGGATATGGTTGTAGATACGTGTTCACGAGTCGCTTGTGCGCCCTGTGGACCGTCCGGCACATTCCTGCAAAGCAGCGCGCCAGAAGACGGAAGCACGCTGAAGAAAGAGGCCTACAGGAGAAAACGCACTGGAGGCGGTACGGAGAGGCCTTGTCACAAGCACGTGCAGCACGTGTATCCACGAGGCGGATGGCCTCCACAGCGGGCTTCAAGCGCCGTCGGACAAGACGGTAGCATACAGCGCGTCTTCTTTGAGCGCACCACAAGGGTCGCTCTTCATCAACAGGGCCCGACAACTCATGGCCAGCCGGATCTGCCCTTCTGTGTCAATGCGAACGTACAGGTTCTCCTCTCCCACGCCCTTTTCTCATCCCTTTAGGTTGCGTGTGCAGCCGAAGGGATCTAGTCGCTGCGTCCCACCTGGCCAAGGCCGCTTTAGGCAGAGAACTCCGCAGACTTCATTGCCCTTCTTCTCTTCTCCTGTTTGTGGATCGACAATTGCGGGCTCAATGCCGAAAAATGGGACCATTGCACACCCCGGTTTGGTGATGGTTGCCCCTGGGAAGGGCGCGAGAACGTGTCCTCCAGTTTCTGTCTGCCAGTACGTGTCCACAACAGAGCACTGGCCTTTGCCGATGTTCTCATAGTACCATCGCCAGGCTTCCGGATTGATCGGCTCACCCACGGAGCCGATTACCCTAAGAGTGCTCAGGTCGTACTTCTTGGGCCACTCATCTCCATGCTGCATTAGGGCCCTGCGTCGAACGGGATCGAATCGAGCGACAGAGGCAATCGAAACAATGGAGCCAGGCCCAACAGCCCAGCCACGTGTGCTGCGCTCGATCTATATCGGGATGATCGAGCGATGGGAAGAGGAGACGCGTAGGTCTCCTCTGGTATAAAAGACTCTCAGCTCCATCTGCCAAAGATAGAGAGAAGTGCACTGCGAGAAGGACATGCTGCTGCCCACGAAAAGTGCCCGCTACTAGATACTGGCGTTGCAGCCCGTTAGAGCCACACACACACACACACACACACACTGATGGCCTCCACCCACAGAGGAGGATCCCCTCCAATGCCGCTGCCCATGGGGCCCCCCGACACTACGTCTGCTCCATGCACACTCCTGTGATTGTGCCCTTTGTGCCTTTCTTCGTGCGCCGTGGGGAGCCGCCTCTCCCAAACGGTTACACTACTGCCATGGACCCTCTTGAACTCGTTTATGCAAGGACGCAGTCGCGGCAGGGTCATGGCCGCAGCTGACCTGATGGCGGTGGGAGACGTGTAGAGCTGCGTGATCCTCCACTTCTGCACTAAATCCCAGTACCTAGGCGCGCACAACAAGACGAAAACGTCAGAGAGGCAGCGGCAGGTGTCGAGGCGGCTGCAGCAGTTGGGCAGCACGGCTCAGTGAGGGAAGGATCGACTGCATAGTTCTGCCGAAGTTCCAGCGGCCTCAGTGTCACGACGTATCTACGTATGCATGCAGGACGCATTTATATCGTGAAATATGGCGCCAGCCTCCCCCAAAGCCGACCCTGATGTGGGAAGCAGTATCCGATGACGGACAAGGTGCCTGCAAAGCTCACCTTCCAGGGTGAGGATACGTTGGGATCCCCTGGAAGAGCACCGTAGTGGCCCCATTGCAGAGTGGTCCATAGACGGTGTACGAGTGGCCCGTGATCCAGCCGCAGTCCGCAAGGCAACCAAATGTGTCGCCAGGGTGGTAATCAAAGATGTATTCGTGCGTTAGCGCGGCGTACAACAGATAGCCAGCGATGGTGTGGCAGACACCCTGCAGGGCAGAAGCACGAGAAGGGCAGCGCAGAAGAGTGCAGTGTTGGCGAAGGAGGAGGGAAGAGGGACACAAGAGGGCAAAACGCCACAGGGTAGGGGTAATTACAAATGCCTGGTCTCAGATATCGCTCTCTCCGGCAGGCACACCTTTGGCTTTCCTGTAGAGCCAGAGGTATAGAGGATGAAGAGCAGATCTTCGCTGTCCATAATCTCAAGCGGGCAGTATGGGCGCATCTGCGGAAGAAGATCGTCGCCAGAGAGGTCCCGGCCCTCCACAAAGGAGGAAGGATCTTCTGAGTAAGGCCGCGCAACGGCAAAGGCAGTAAACGGAGGGGCGTCCACACGCAGTCATCCGCTACTGTGGACGGAAAATGTAGGTACACAGAGCAGTGGGGCAAGCACCGCGGGGTCGTTCTGGGTCGGTGCCACTGAAGACCTCGCACGCGGACAGGCAGCCTCGAAAAACGCTAGCACTGTGCTACGACAGGAAGCGACATTCGTACGAGAGCACATAATGTCAGGCCTCACCGGACTTTCTGAAGAGAACTACGTGCTTCACGCAGGAAACGTGTTCTAGGGCCTCGTCGACAACCTTCTTTAGGTGCACCTCTCTGCCACCCCTCGTGCTTTTCGTGGCTGTAATCAACTGGAGAGAGGAGGAAACGCAGGCCGCAAGAGGCATTTGGTAGGAGGAGGACGGGACGGATGGCGAGCTATGGAGGAGCAGCAGGCGAGGCGTCAGGATCACATAAGGACGTTGCAGCCAACGAAGAGTTTTAGGCAAGCACACCGAGAGGCACCAGGGACACGTGCAGCGCTGTGCATTTCTCGGGAAAAACGAACCACTCGGCTGTTGGCATCCTCGAGACGCTCTGCCAAGCTGTTGGCAGAGAGGCCTGCAAAGACCACGCTGCAGGCAGCGGGAGACCACAAACAGGGGCAGGCGGCTGCCGTACATACATAGAGATGGGCAGGCACGAGATCTTCGGGATGTCAAGAATAATGGCAAAATGCCCGCAGGTGAGATGCCAAGAGGTAGAATGCACAGTAAGCGAACGTGCTCGCGCATGCAGCAGTCCAAATGTGCAGGACCCCAAGAGCCGCCTCAGAAGTAGAACGCAGGCTTGCCCGTCACAGACATCCACAGAAGGGGGGCAGCATATTGTGCACTGAAGGAGTCAGCGCTGCCGACGATGGTGTAAAGGAAGAGGATTTGTCAGGGCTATGTCTACCGAAGCTTTCGGCAAAACGGACCTGTGCACCGCGCCGATCCTCGCACATGCCAGCATGGCGTAAACGATTTCTGGCATCATGGGCAGGTAGATTGTCACGATATCCCCTTTTCGCACGTCTAGACTCTTGAGGAGATTCGCAAAACGGCAAACTTGGTCTGCCAGAAGGGAGGAACCAGCAACACGCAGTACATGCGCAATAGCATTCCGCCGACACGAAGCATACAGAGCCGCGAGATGCACTAGAGCCACGATATTTACGAGATGCGCATGGGCACTAAACAAGCATTCCGCACAAGACAGGAGCAGTACGGGGAAGGGTCACCACACCTTGCAGTTCCTTGTATGTGACGACTTGGCTGTCTTTTGAAGTGTCGCCCTCATAAATCAAGGCGATCCTCTGGGGGTATTGTTCAGCCCACCGGTCCACACAATTGTCGCACACCTGCAGAAAGGCAATCGATAGGAGGCCCGCAAACCCCTTAAACATGCAAGACACAGAGCGTCCTTCTCCGTATGAGTGGGTGCTCCTTAGGGGCGGCTTTCCGATCCCTGATTATTCGTGCCTCCTGTTCCTCTGCAGTCCCTAGAGCAGGTAACCTTCGACCCCCTCCCTCGAAAGGTCCCTTCCTATCCCTCGAGCACCCAAGCACCTGCACTTTCGGGCAGCAGTTGCTGCTCCAAGCAGCACGATAAGGCCAGCCGCTTAGCGCAGGAGAAACAGACAAGCATACAGGCAGAGAGCGAGAGAGCGCGTGGATCGTAGACAGACAGGAGCTACCGGGGGAATGGCCTTTTGAATAGGGCCCGAAAGAAAGCAGCGAAAAAGCAGCTGGAATTTCCTTTAAGAGCTCACATTCAGCTTGCCGTTAAGGAACCAAGACATATCCCCGTTTTTCAGGGATCCGTGTTGTGTCTTGGTGAAGGGATGCGACCAGCGCAGCTTCTCGAGGGCTTTCTGGAGGCGGCAGACCGGAGGAGGCGCGACAGGAACACGTGTATATACACCGTAGTGATGCAGCGATTGACTGTAGGGCTGCCATATATTCTTTCCCTTGATGTGCATGCGCCTTCTGTAGAACAAAAGCGTGAGGCGGTGCACAAGAAGGGCGGAGGAAAGGATGGCCATCAAGGCGGGCTAGGCACAATAAGAGCTCGACTCACCTCCCTCCAGAAGTTGTCTGCATCAGTCAAACTGCGCCAGTAAAGATGCTTGTACATGCTCTGTGTAGAACCGCAGGAACGCACATGCGGCAAAGCATAGTTGCTCCCAACGAGCACCCAGACGGCCTAAGGGCTGCCCAAGAAATCTCACGCACACCCCTCCCCTCCAAACGCTACATCCAGCCTCCAAGGAGGTGGCCAACAAAGCCTTGTGGCATGTGGACTAAGAAGGGGTCGCGGAGCAAAAGGAAGATGACAGCTTGATCTACTACGTGGCTGCGCCTTTCCGAGTTCCTATCAACGGCTATCTTCCGGTGCAGACACCAGAGAAGCTTCGAATGGACCGACCGATGAGTAGTGCTGATGCTACAATATCCTGCGTGTTTTCATACCTCTGAAGGCACATTGCACCTGCTGGTGTTCTTTGGCGGGGGCTCGTGCACCTCTTTTACTGGAAAAGAGGAGATGGCCTCATGCGCTCCCTCAAGGTTCAAGTCGCTCCTCTCCACATTGGGGCTGCCCCTGTCCACCACACAGGCCTCGCCGAGGTCTCTATCCCAGGCAGCAGGCATCATGTATCCTTAGATGCGCAGAGGGAGACACCGGCACCCACTAGGCACAACGCGGAAGCGCGTTGAAACGGCGTACGGCGGAAGCAAATCGATGCGTGCCTGATGGAAATCCAGAGGCCGATCGCGGGGCCAGGCGCCCCGCTGGCACCAAGTGGCTCGTATGACGATGGCCTTGCTGAAGAAAGAAGTACACGCCTTCAGGTCGTGCTGCTAGCAAGGCCCTGCGCTGTGCAGATCGCTGCGACGGCCTTAAGGAGTTCGTGCGGCGTCTCGCCCGATGCTTGGAGCGCAATTGAGAAAAAATCAAAGAAAAGGTAGAATTATGTCTGTGGAGGGTGCAGGATAAACGAAAAGAGGCGTGTATCCGGCCACCGTATGCCACCTGGCGCCCGTCCATCCGATCTCGTCATGCGTTTTAGCTCAGAGTATAATGCCCTTGTCTGTAGATAAGTTGCATTCATAAAATGTCCAGACAGAGCATATTTGAAGCTCAAAGTACGAGTCGCGGTACTACCAGTCACTGCCTACTTATTGGCTGTATATTGTACAGACGACGAGGGAAACTGCCGCCTGGCCCCCCCGAGGGATTCGGTGGTCAATAAAGGCGTAGAAAAAAATAAAGAGTGTGCTGCCGATCAAAAGGACCCGTATGAAAGCGTCGATTTCTGTTTTAGGAAAGACTTCATGCGTATTTACTTCTGCATATTCGCTCAGACAGTTGGCAGCCTACGAGATAGGGGAGTAAAACACGGCGGGATTATACCAGAGTACTGGAGGTGTTTCTCCCTGAAGTGGCAATATTTTCGCGTGGTTGCTGTGGCTGTTTACAGGGCCTTAGCAAATTGTGGACGTTGGGGTTGTTGAAAAATTTACATCTATGGACTGTCATCGAAGGGTTATCCAGGTTCCCAAGTTTGTTCGGACTCCCACTTTAGACACTTGCTCCCGTGTCTTAAGCGCGATCTTTCGAGAAACCCACCTAGTGGAGGGTGGATACAGGAGTAAGGTAATGTAAAGAGTTATACAAGACAGCACAGCTGCTTGGGCTTGTCCAAGGTAGCTCCAAGAAGGGGCTCCCCTGATATGGCCCAGAAATAGCCATCAAGGGTCTCCTAGGAAGACTCTTTCGTCAGGATAATAGGACTTGTATGCTTTTGCACAATCTTTGATTAATTATGCGTAAATGTGAAGTAGCTCTTCCTCGGGGAGGCGGGACGAGACTGCATTGGCTCTACACAATGTTCGATCCATGGTGTTCCCTTAAGCCACTAATTTGACACATATTTGCCTGCTTTCATATATTTAGCTGAGGGCCCATAGTTTAGGAACGGAATCATATTTAATCTGCACACCCGGGACGTGTTGACATTTGCTTGGCTTGAATGCCCCGAGGCAGTCAACGTCATGGCCAGAAAAAAGCTCCTCCAGTAGCGGCTTGAGCTATACTTCGGCCATTTCCTCTACACTGCCAACATGCCATTAACGGCTAGTAAAGAATTGACTCTTTGGTGTGGCTATTCGTGTAGAAGCCTATTTATTGCTGTGTAGCGTTTCTCTATACCGTAAGATTAAATGCTGTTTGCGCGTGATTTCGATATGATGTACGGCTACCTGTGAATGATCGGAGTGCACAACAGCGCTCACCCTAGATGCCCTTTCCCCTCATTTCGGCGCCCTGAGAGGCGTGTGCAGGAAAAGGTTCACGCTCTACAATAGACTCAATTTGGGATGCACTGCACTCCACACTGAATGCAAACTTTGTGGAATATTGCTGACTGATTTCACAAAGGAGTCTCTCCCTTCGCGCTCCACTCCGAAAAGAGACAGGTATTCATGAAGCGTTGAGCCCGTAAAGAGAAAGAGAAGGGATGAAATACACATTGCCCAGCAACGAACAAAGTTTCTTGCGAACACGTCCGCTATAATTTCCTGCCGCACTGGCTTTGGAGCCTTAAAATGTGCAAGCCTCCTGATACTTGGGGAAGAATTCCAGTACTCACTGGGTCATCAGTGCCACCACTGCTCAAAGTGCAATTATTGCGTGCCAATACAGTCGTTGCATGCGGCATAATTAATTTCCAGGTCCCAGAGGGCCATGAACAAGGGAATGTACAGACAAGCTTCTCGAGAATGCGTGAGTGTAAATCTGAGAGCAGAGGATACCTGAATAAGAGCAATAACTTGGCACTTACAAGAAATGGCTGCACTTGGAGCTACGCACCCAAGCAGAAGAAAGCACGACGAAAGGACAGGTACCATAAAATGAGAAAAAATAATCCACAGCCACTAATCTTGGGAAATGAAAGTAGCCCCAAGCTGTCCCGCAGGCAACGAGGCGTGCAGTCCCTCCTTCAGCCACTAATGTTGTACGCATCCCTTTTTGCTAGAAACTTAAGTCTGATGTCTCATTGTCGCTCAGTGCTCCTACAATCCAGCACCTGTACAGCTCCCTAAAGGTCGTCCGCCTCCAACGCGGGTCACTTGCCTACACGGCGAAGACCGCCAAAAGTCAGGAAAGCTTTTAATCTACTTTAAAGCCCATTTAGTCAGATATGTCGTCTACAACTTTGGGGCAAAATATTTGGGAGAGAGTCTTACCTCATGAGACTATCACAAATGGTCCCAGCTACCTGACGGGATACTGCTTTGCTTGGTCACCTGGTGCACCTCGGAAGGCCTACCGATCTATCAGAAACAAAGCTTCTGAGTCCAAATACACAGCAGACCGTCCCTGTCGTAGTTACGTGCTTGTTCCTCCTGAGCCTTACTTACAAAAGCACGTGCAACATTTATTTATTCTCTTCTTCCCTCCGCAGCTGCTGGTGGGTGCTGCTTTTAGATCACCAGGTCCACTGCCGTATCCCAGTGAGGCCCTTAGTAAAGATCAGGAACGCGGAGAAATTTCGGTCATCCGACTGTCTAGTGGATCATTTACTCATTCAGCACGGAAACCAAGCTGACTGCCTGGATTTTAGAAGCGTAAAGTGTCGAATATTGCAGAAAAGTACTTATGATACTATCCATTTGCACCTGTATTAGGGTTGTTCACAATACCACATTATGGCCCATATGTAGACAGGTCAGAACAGGCTTGCCAAAAGGCACTGTTAAACTTCAGCCCCCTATCCGCAATGAT